TCTGTAGTTAGTCTTTTGTATAAAATTTGCCTTCTGTAGTTGTATCAGTTATTAACATTTATTCGTCTACATGTTTACCGTTCTTCAGCCTTCTGTCTTTTGATTATTCTTGATTATTCTATCACTGCAGATGATCTTTACTTCAATAGCCTTTATGTCCAGTCCTTTCACTGCTAATGACCGATGTAGTTTTTTTTATCGACTTTTTGAGGACGTATGTTATAAACATTACTATTGACTCTGTGCTACTATGTCATTTTATCTGTCGTTTGTATTAATACACTTGTTAATGACAGTTACTATTCATATTAATGCATGTCTCATTTCTTGATCACGGTGTTTATTTTCGACAATGACAAAACTACCACTGACTTGACACCGGCGACGTGACAGTCTGATTGGTTGTCTTCCTTCTTGCGTTTTCTTTCATGACTGTACTCCACGTTTTCTTTTTTGTCTTCGGGGTGACTACTATACTTCTCGTTTTCTTTTACTTTCGGGGTGACTTTACTATACTTCGCGTTTTCTTTTATCTTCCAGGTAACTTTAGCGCGTTTTAAAAATCGCTCTTGTCTTTTCTATTGTTATTTAGTGTTCTCTCTTGACTTTTTTGTCACTTCTCTCCTCTGCTTTTTATTTCCTCGTCTTCATTTCTTCATAACTTCCCTTTCCTTTCTCCTCTCCCATTTTCTTCTTCTCTGCCCTGCGTATGCCTTTCTTCGCATCCCTTCCCTCCTCTCCCCTTCCCTCCTCTTTCCCCTTCCCTCCTCTTCTCCCTTCCCTCTTCTCCCTTCCCACCTCTACCCTTTCCCTCCTCTTCCCCCCTTCCCCCCCCCTTCAATTTTTCTTTCCCCCTTCCCTTCTCTTTTTCCTTCCTACCTTTTCCTCCTTCCCTCCTCTTCCGTTTTCAGTTCTCTCCTCCATTCCCTCCTCTTCCCCCTCCCTTCTCTTTCCCCTTCCTTCCTCTTCTCCCTTCCCTCCTCTGCCCCCTCCCTTCTCTATCCCCTTCCCTCCTCTTTCCCTTCCCACCTTTTCCCCTTCCCTTTCTCTTTCCTTTTCCCTCCTCTTCCCCCTCCCTTCTCTTTCCCTTTCCCTCCTCTTCCCCCTTCCTTCTCTTCCTTTTCCCTCGTCTTTCCCCTTCCCTTCTCTTCCTTTCCCCTTCCCTTCTCTTTCCCGCTTCCCTTCTCTTCCCCTTCCCGTCCCCTCGCAAGCCGGCCCCCTGACGTCGCACTAACCCCTCCATCCCCCAAGGGAGCGATCGCCCAGCACCAGATCCAGCCCAACGCCCCCGTGTGTCAGGTGTTCTGGGACCAGCCTGACGGAGGGGGCGCCCTGGTGGTCACGGCGGACGGCTCCTCCTTCCTGGCCGACTACCTGGTGGTGGCGCTGCCGCTCGCCGTCCTCAAGGAGCGCCACCTCATTCCCGCCGCTGCCCAGGGAACTCACGAGCGCCTTCTCGGTTCGTGCGCTTTGGGTCATCTGTGTGTGTGTGTGTGTGTTGTTTGTTTGTGTGTGTGTGTGTGTGTGTGTGTGTGTGTGTGTGTGTGTGTGTGTGTGTGTTGTTGTTGTTTGTTTGTGTGTGTGTGTTGTTTGTTTGTGTTGTGTGTGTGTGTGTGTGTGTGTGTATTTGTGTTTGTGTGTGTGTTAGTGAAAGTGAGTGAGTGAGTGATTGAGAGAGAGAGAGAGATAGAGAGAGAGAGAATGAGAGATAGAGATAGTGAGAGTGAGTCTGTCTGTGTGCGAATACGTATTTGCGCGCACATTCATGCACGCGCGCGCATGTGTGTAGAATATGTCTATATGTATTGTTATCTACAAATTTCGTCCCTAAAAGCGTGCACCTTATAACCGAGGTTAATGGCTACCCCCAGGCATTCGAGGCCGGCACCGTGAACCGGCTGGCAGTCAGCTGGCCTTCTCCTTGGTGGCTCGAGGGCGACCTTGAGAGGCAGATAATGTGGAGAGAATATTCCTTCCCGCCGGAGATGGTAAGTGAGATTCTGTTTTGCCGATAAAGAGATGGAGAGGTTAGGAGAGAGGACTAAAGAGAAGGAGGAAGGAGGAAGGGAGGGAGAGGGCGGGCGGGCGGAGGAGGAGGGAGGAGAGGCGGGCGGGCGGAGGAGGGAGAGAGAGGGCGGGAGGAGGAGGAGGGAGGAGAAAAGAGAGCGAGAACCAGGGAGGAAGGAGGAGAGATAGGGAAGTGTGAATTGAGAGGAGAGGAAGATTGAGAGAGAGAGAGAGAGGCGAGAAAGGGAGGGTGAACGAGATAGCAAGAGAAGGAGAGAGAAAGAGAATGGGAAGGAAGGGAGGAAGAAAGAGAGGGAGAAATGTTGAGAAAGGGAAAGAGAACATTGGGAGAGAAGGAGAAAAGAGACACAATGAGAGACGGACTGAGAAAGAGAGAGAGCGATAGAAAGAGGAAAGACAAAGAGGTTAAGAGAGAGAGAAAAAAGCAGAGCGAAGAAGGGGGAGGAGAAAGAGAGAGAGAGCGAGGGAAGGAGGGAGAAAGAGAGGAGGTAAAGAGGTAGGGAGAAGTAAAGAGACCGAGAGAGTGAGGGAGAAAGAGAGGGAGCGACGGAGGGGGGAAGAAAGAGAGGGAAACCGGGAGAGAGAGAAGGAGCGAGAGAGGGAGGGGGAAAAGAGGGAGAAATTGAAGAATGGAAGGATGAAAGGAGAAAGGGAGATAACCAAAAAAAAAAAAAAAAAAAAAAAAACGCACAAAAGAAATGCAGAAAGAGAAATAAACAAGTGAGCAACATGAATAGGTTTTGTCTTCCGTGGTCACATCGGCCGTGTTCCCCGTGGCCTAAAAACTTCCTTTCTGGGTCAGAGGTAGAGGAGCTCAGTTTTTGCCCGTTGAGAGAGGGAGAGAAATGAAGAAAGAAATAAATAAAAAAGAAATGGAGAAGAAAAAAAATGAAAAACGAAGTAAAGCCAGATTTAAAAAGAAGAAAAAAAACATTAAGAGGAGAAAGAGAAGTAAAAAAAAAAGTGTCAGAGAGAGAGAAAAAAACGAGGTAATAGATCGCGAGAAGAAAAGCACTCTAACGTTATCTTTCTAATTACAGGAATGGATGTCCAGCATCGTCCAGGTGAAGAGCGCCCCTCACAACCGAGCTCAGTTGGAGATGCTGGTGACAGGCGAGGCTTCCTTAGCCATGGAGGAGATGTCCCCTGAGACTATCATTTCCCACGTCATGACTCTCATTCGCGCTGTTAACCGCCCGTATTCCGTTCCTCTGCCTTCTTTCTTCCATAGGTGAGTCTCTGGCTCTTTGGCGATGCGTGGAAGTTAAAAATTAAAAGATGGAGCGCTCCGTTTTCTATGGGTTGTCTGAACTGTTTCCTTTGTTTATTGGGTAAAACTGGAGGGGGGGAAATGTAGCTTTTAGGTGACTGTATCTAAAAGGAAATCTGTTTTTCATACTGTTTTTTAATACTTTTTGATAAGTGGAATTACTTAAAGAGACTGCGGTATTGACGATAGAATCCATTTTAGAAGGAGCGAGAGAGAGAGAGAGAGAGAGAGAGAGAGAGAGAGAGAGAGAGAGAGAGAGAGAGAGAGAGAGAGAGAGAGAGAAACACCAATGCATCATTATTTTTGCAGATAAAACAGAAAGGTGAACACCACGCAAGACGTTAATATCAGACGATACGTAACACATAACAGGAACCACGTTACATAATACACAATAAGAAACTGACACAAGAAATGAAGATAAAACATATTTCTCGAACACAGAACAAGTTTGGATTAGACTGAATAACAACAGTGGAGTTGTAACTAACGTGTTTCGATTAATTGCCCTTTCAACGTGTTTAATGTTGTAAAATTGTCCATTCTCCTTAATGTCACAATAACCACTTCGCGTGCTTCGACGTGAGGGGAAAATAGATAATGGGATAAGTATAACAATAATTATGATAATGTATTTCCCTCAGATCGCAGTGGAACAAGAACCCATGGGCTCGGAGTTCGTACCACTCTTACATGACGATGGCCGGCGTGAAACTGAGACTGAGAGACCGCAGTGTGTTGTGCCCGCGCCTTTCCAGTTCGAGTGGGAGGAAGGTGAGGCAGAGAGCGCGGGATTGTGGGGGTATTTGGAGGCAGGGAGGGTGGTAAAGGGATGATTTAATTTGTGGATTTCTTGCCTTTATAAAATAAACAACTCGATATATTTCAGCATAAAATGTTTTGCCTACGAAGATCAACTGAATTAAAAACCAAAACTGTTCTCTCATATCACGCCTATAAATCATACATAACTTTACGTTCTTATGCCCCCAACAGTCCGTTTTCTTTGCCGGAGAACACACCTCTACGGATCGCTTTGGGACGGTCGATGGCTCTTTTCTCTCTGGTGTAAGGGCAGCCAAGTGGGTTATGGATGAACTCGTTGCTCAGAGTTTGGTAAGCTGTTATATTTTTTTATTACTTACCTCTCTTATGGCTGGTGTTTTTTAATGTATTAATCATCCATTCATATATGTTATTATCTTTTTTACTTTTATTTTTTCAGATATTACATAATCAGTTTCCCGTCCTTTCCAGAAACCTTTTGAGAGCGAGGAGGTAAGATTTACCGTTCCCGACGCCAAAAACCAAAACATGAACTTCTTCGACCTCTTCCTCAATCCCAAAAACTACTACCAAGTCGTCAAGGTTAAAACTAAGAGCAGGGAAAGTGAGGAAGTGATGTCAAGGAGGAGGAAGCAACCAGTCAGTCAGTCACGAGATGTTGGGACAGTGCCGAGAGGCCAGTTAGGTGGAGACAGGCAACAGGAAACATACATTATCCAGACTAAAGATGGCCGTCGCATTCCAGTTGTCTTTTCTAGCAACAATGGCGGACAAGTATCAATGGCCTTGTCTGGCAACAGTGGCGATCAAGTACCGGTTGTCCTCTCTGGGAACAATGGCGACCAAGTACCTGTTGTTGTGGAGAGAGAAGACGGACAGAAAGTTGCTTACGTTATTGCTGATAATAACGGGCAGCAAACTCTTTATGGCATCCCCCCTGGTAACGGCGCACAGGTTCAATATGTTATGGCTCCGACCGATGGACCAGATGGCCAGCAGAAAGTGTATATCATGTCTGATGACAATAACCAACATGTTCCTTTAGTTGTTTCTCCAGACAATAATCAACATGGTCCTTTAGTTTCTCTAGACAACAATCAGCAAGTTCCTCATGTTGTAACCACCGATGATGGCCAGCAGGTTGCATATGTTCTGTCCACTAAGAATGGGCAGCAAATCCCTCTTGTTTTATCAAATGACAATAATCAAGAAGGCCCGTATGGCTTGCCGATCCACAAACGTCCCTATCCCTTAGCTGTAGAAAATGGGCCGAAGGTTACTTTTGTTGTGTCTGCAAAGGATAGTCGCGAAACTCATCATGACTCGTCAAGGGAGAATTCTCAATTGGAAGTTCTCAGAAACGTTATGAATCCAGAAGTGACAACCAAATTTACAGTACCGGTATTCGCTTCTTCAGAGGATGACTCCATTTCCCCTTTGGGTAACAAGGAAGAAATTGCGATCGTTTATGTTGATAGCGAGGGGAAAAGGATTACGAATATCCCAATGAAGTTGTCCTCCATGGTAGAAGATATGGTGCAAGAGAGCTTGGAAACAACCCTGAAGGAGAAGAAGAATCAAGAAAATGCCACATCCCCCTCCACTGTGGAAGAGGAAGGAAGCCAGGATGAAGATAGATTATCTATACAAGATACGAGTTTTGAAGATGTCTCTATAGGTGGACGACTAAGAAACAGAAACAGGAAGAGGAACAGGAATAAAGGAATTAGAAACAGAAACAGAAATAGGAAAAAAGACAAGCCGAACAGTCAAGAAGATGAGAACAAGCCACTCAGCAACAGGAGTGAAGTACAAAACGAGCAGACCCCACCACAACACATAACATACAATTCACCTCTTCACTTCCCACTGCCACTACCAACTTCTTATTTTCCATACCTAAGCTCATCGGCTCCCACAACAGAGGCAACCACTGCTCATCCTCCTAAAATTAATTCAGCTGTTCCTGGTGCCCACATGACCTACTATGCAAACAACCGGATGTCAGTCATCATGGAACCAGACTTATCACAGACACATGACATGTATGACTTTCAAGGTAGTCAGTCATATCCACAGTATGCAATGAAAGTCAATGCACCTGGCCTAGAGATGCCCAGTTACCTTTCTTCCCATTCACAGCCACCTCCTAAACTCACCACCAACTTCTATCATCAATTCCCAGAAACCCAAACACCTCCCTCAGTCTGGCAAAGGCCAAATGTGAACTCGCCTCTGCATTCACAAGGACACATTCCCAGCCCAGATATATCAAGAGGAGGTAGTCTTCACCTTGCAGATCACATGTCACATGGTGATTCTTCATATAATGGAGCTGTGAATAATCCTAGCTGGACCCAGACTTACAATCAACACCCCAGGTATAATTTGTTTTCTTCCACTACCGAGCCATATTATACTGTGATTTCATCTACACGTCGAAGCCCACATATGCCACCCATTCATCAGCCAGAAAATCCAACTCCATTTGATGCGACACAAACCCTATCAACACAGATAAAAAATCTGCAGCAAAGTCAGTACTATTCTTCAAGTACTCACCCATTTGCAGACCATAATTATAACAGAGGTGGCACTGCCATTGAAGCTCCCAATGGACCTTATGCTTCATACCCACGGAGGACTCCAAACAAAGATCCCATTGGACCATATGATTCATACCCAAGTACTTCTACAAACAGAGCTCCTGCTAAATCCTATGCTTCATATCCAGTTTCAAGCCAGCATTCTCTGGACTATGATTCTTTACCACCAAATCGACAGGCACTTCTGGAGTACTATAATATAAGGCCTGGACCGAATGGACAGGTGCACATGAACATCAATATGCCACCTCTTCTTAACAGGGATCAGTCATCAGTCTATGCCATCTTGGATGATGGTATAGATCCAAAGACTTTGATGACAGAAAATAGGCACAGGCCACAGAAAAATAACAGAAACAGAATGCAGGATAGAATGGGCAGTTATGAATATGAAGATTCCATCGAAGAATTACTTGGATCCACACATGATGTAAACCGAACAATAAGTTTTGAAGCTCTTTCCCCAAACAGTAAAAATACCAGTGATCAACAGCAACAGCAGTATACAAGTATTGCATATGAAACTGGTTCACAAGAAGAGTTGCAAGGAAATTCTGATGAGTTTGCAAATGTAAAGACAAACTCTGAGGAGCTTGTAATAAGTTCTGAACAATTTAATTCAAATGAAGTGAGGGCAAACTCTACAACACTGAAAAACAGCTCAAAAGAAAAAACTAAATATGAAGATCCAAAGGCAAACTCTGAGGAAATAATTAGAAAGTCTGAAGAAATAGAAGCAAAAATAAGTTCAGAGGCAAACTCTGGGGAAATTAACATAAATTCTGGAGAATCTGAATCAAAATTAAGCTCAAATGCAAACTCTGAGGATCTTATTGTAAATTCCAAGGAAGTAGGAGTGGACTCTGAACAGAACTATTCAGGACGAGTACGTGATGAAAGTAGCAGTGAGGATAACAACAAAAGAGAGGACACTGAAAAATATTATTCCAATAATGGGATGCCAATGCACCCTGGTTTCCTGTCTGCAGTATCTGCTATGCAATATACTCCAGTCATATTACAACCCATGTCATTTTTCAATCCAATGATGCAAGGTATGAATCCTTTCCCTCCTACGAGAACAGATATGTCTTCACCTTACCAGAGCCATTCATCACGAAAAAGGCTTCAGAGCAGTGAAAAAGAAGAAGATCGTTCCTTCCGACTGCAAAAAATATTATTGACTACATTGCAGCCTGAGGAAAAGTTGCAAGTTGTTACAGAGTCTGTAGATTCCAAGGATCAACTTGAATCCATTAATTCCTCACCTTCCCTTGATGAAGACCAGGCAAGTTCTGAAATACAATCCATGGAGGAGTTTCTCCATGAAATATCAGTTGAAATTATTTCGGGAATGCAGAACAGTACGGGAAATGGTGAACGAAAGAGATCAAGGAAGAATAAAAGGAAGAGAAACAGAGCTGAAAATGATAGAGACCTTAGCATTGAGATGCTGACTGAAGCTTTGGAAAGTCCAAAAACTGATGTTTTTACCAGCCAGAGATTAGAAAATCAAGAGTGGAGTGCATCAGACAGTGTTACTGAAAGTCATGAAGCAAGTACTGCCCAAACAACAGCTGCTCCAGAGCTTCATGACCATACTGCAAGTTATGAAAATTATGATTTAGATACAACCGAAATCTCCATTTTGAATACATGGCTGCCCGAGAGTGAGGGTTTAGCCCAAGATAATGAAGAAACATCTGAGTCATGGTTCTCGTGGTATATGAATTATTAAAGTCTTAAGCAGCTGATTAGTTACATTAATGAACTGGTCACATGTCATTAAGAGACAGCAATTCATAGAAAATTAGGAAAGAAACCTGACTTATCTGGTGGTCTCTTTGGGCATGGAAATGGAAATCAAGGTAGGATACAGTCATATAACCAAGTTCTAATTTCTAATTTGCCTTCAATTAGTTTTGAGAGTACATAGCTGTGGAACCTTGTTTTAATATTGCACCCAGAATGCTTATTAGAGAAATAGGTACCCAGTGGCATCAAGCTTAATGAAAAATTCCTAATAGTGAGAGCTCCTTGGTTGTAGGTAATGAAGCACCAAGAGTACTTTGCCAATTTTAACATCAATATTTCTAAAAGCATTTACTGATTTATTTGGAAGTTTAATACCTTTTAGATTCTTTTCTGTTTACATGAAGCTAAAAAAAATATCAGTTTGAATGCTGACACTTTTGCATAACATTGTATTTTGTACATACTATTTATTTCTAATTTATTATTGTTGGCTATTTATAATAAGTACTTAACAGTTACCACAACAAAAGAAACATATGATCAAGACAGATGTACTACGTAACAGTTGCAAAGAATTTTTTTTTTCTATCTTGAACTTATCTATGAGTTTTCAATTCACTCATCTCAAACTTTGATCCTGTTAAGGCCAATGGTCTAATGTGTTAATTTATGTAATGTTAACTTCATATTAACCTGTTCAAGGCAAAAGTGCATGTATGACTGCACTTTCCCCTATGGTTTAGTTTTATTTATTTTGTTAACACTAGAATGGTTACAGAAACATTTAGTCACCAGAGAGTTAATTACTGGGCCACCTGAATCTCACAAATTATTCCATTCCTTATATTTTCAGGAAAGGAAATTTATTTGTTTTTAATATTAATAAAATTAAAAACTTATTTCACAAAGAATCCTAGGAATGCATTTATTTGGGAAGATCAAGTAGGCCTAGTAATTGACTCCTTGGTGACAACACTTTAGAAGCCATGTGTGTGAACGATATTAGTAAAGCAAGACCACAGTGAACACCACATGTACCCACTGCCAATTGGCTAATGTTGGCATCCACATGTTGAATCTTTATGTGGCATTTTGAATTGTATTCAATTCACATTATCTATTTCTGCTTCAATTTTCATCATTGCAAGCAATTAAGATGTGCATTAGAATTAGAGATGTGCCAGTGGTAGTATGATCAATATTAGCTATATATTCTACTATTGGCACTGGTGTCGATTGTGAAATTCAGCCTGAGATTGAAAATTGTTCACTGTATAATAAGACTAGTGTCTTTTTTGGTCTTTTTGATAAAAATTATACATAAACAGGGATTATAAACTTTTCTCTTACTACTTTAACACAATTCTTACTTTATTTCAATATTCTTAACAGTTAATTTCACATATGAAAAGTTGTCTCCATCTTTGCCAAATGCTAATTATTAAGATAAAGACAGAAATAAATGTACCAGTATTTGTAAGTTTTCTAGTAATGGGATAATCATCGGCACTTCTCTAATTGTAATTAGTTGATAAGTTACAGCATCCTCATCCTCATCATCTTTTCCCCATTGGCTCATCCTGTTTTCAGTTTTTGCATTACTTTCCTGTGTATCAAACTTTTTGTCTTAACATTTCTTTCAAAGAGTAACACTACATATTCAAGTTTCTAGTTTGTAGTGTTTTAGAAAACTTTCCCAGTCATGAAATTCATTTAACATTTTCATGTACATCTATAAATGTGTATGTTAGGGTGATAAAATCCGAAATCTTGGCATTATGAATTCTAGCATTGTGTATAAATACTATATACCATCAAAGTCTTTTATTATGTATATCCTGACCTGACTGTAATGTGTAGGCTTGACCAAAGACAGCATTGATTACTATGTAGGATATCCTCTAGTGGCAGGAGGAAGTAGAAGAGAAACAAGAAAAAATGTATTAAAATAGTTGTCACCGAGGGAGGTGAAAGATAGGAAGATACAAGGAAGAGAAATTTGGAGAATAGAAAAAGAATTACATTTTCAAAATGAAACATTTAAAGGCTTACATTTCACATGGAAAATGCAAAGAAAATTTTGAACAAGTAACTGGAAGCAATCACAAAGAGCTACACATGAAGAAGTAATCTGAAATGTATTTCAATGTGTTTAAGTAATGTTTTAAAAGTATTTCACTGCTCCAAAATTTATTTCTTGCATAAAAATGATCTGTTTTACATTTTTATTCTAGCATAGGGTTAAAAGAAAAAAAATTGACAACCAAGGGAAGTCACATATATTTTGGGAGAGAAGAGGGAAACTTGTAGATTTTTTTTTTTTGTTTTAAGAAAAAAAAGTTGATACAAGAAGAAAATCTAACCAAAACAATAAATCAATACCTGATGATGAAACAAAATAAGAAAGTCTCTGTAACAATATTTTACCAACAAGAAAAACATATTGAACAATGTAAAAGGTGGAATCCCCCCCCCCCCCCCAAAAAAAAAGAAAATAATTCTAAGTAAATACATTATTTACACTGTAAGAGATGAAAAACTGAGTGCATTCACCATCATAAAAGTTTATATACACAAATTTAAAGGACGAAGCCCAAATTCTAAAGATGAATACTAGATGTTACTTTCTTAACATCTTTGCTTCTTTCTTCTCTTGTAGTTCTTTTAACTGTTCTTCCACAACTGAAGTACGATTTTTCAAGAATTCTCCATATTCTTCTGGGTCTATTTCTCGGACAACCTGCAAGACAATTGTCATCTTTAATTATATATATATTTTTTACAAAGGTAAATCAAGAAATGCAATAAACTTATTGATTTTAGCTCATAACATTTTATTGTTTTGTTTGAATGAACAAGAGGAAACATTCTTTGGCAATGTTGACAGTGCTTATCTTTCCTTTATCAACTAAAAAATGGGATGCAAAAATGAACTTTGTTTTTAACCAATGATGTGCTATGTTTGTGGTTTTATAGGTAGTAGAGGATGGACTACAAGAGGCTTTCCTCATAGCTCTTGTGTAAAAGTGAGGATAATCATCCATCTAATCTAAACAGCCAGCAAATTAGACAGGGTTGTATAGTAAAAAAGTGTATAAATCTTTCTTTAGCTTCCCATTTTCTATGTCTTATACATTGATCAGGCTGGTCCTGTCTAGCAACCACCCTGAGTTGGCCCATCAGCTGGAAAGCATCACAGGTCCAGGAAGGGTCCAGTTTTATTTATCAACAATTCTGGTTTGCTACAATTCTACATTGGGGTAAGAGGGTCAAGGAACTACATACAATGTCTGTCTGTCTGTCTGTCACGCACACACACATACATACACACACACAATTTTATTCTTAAATTCTTGATGTTATTGCTTCTTCACCCATAAATACACCCACTTACTTCCACAAACTTATATTGTCAACTTCCTGCCATGTCACAGGCTTTTTGACATACATTCCTATCTCATTTATAATTCAATATAAAGTAGCTTTAGCCATGCTCAATGTCTTCCTAAATGCATTTTAAAAATACATCAAACTAAAGGAACAGCCCTCACAACAATTTTCAACAACTTTAAAACGTGAATTTTTGCAAACACAAACCTCCAGTCCAATGGAATGTGCAACTCCAATGGTGAGCTCGCAGATCTGTTTGAGTGGGGTGAGCTGTAGTGGTGGATCTTGCTGCTTGATCTTGGCTATTTCGTAAATGTGCTTTAGGGAGACTTTTCCTGCAACCTCCCGACCTGAAGTGTTGCATAAATATTACAGTAGATTTAAGGATATCATAATACAACATAATAAAAGCTGTGGTGATAATCATAGCATAAAGTAATGGGACTGTGTTGTGGAATGTCTTTGAAGTTTATTCATATGAATTGTATGGTTATATTTTGCATACATTATTTCTATCTTGTGCATTAGCCTCTAAAGTATTTTAATTCTGTGTGTGTCCTGTGATTGTTCTTTTGGATATCACTATGTCTTATATAATGTACAATCATACACATATACAAAAATACATACATACATACACATGCATACATACGTACATACATACATAAACATTTACATGCAACACACACTCAATACATATGTACGAGAGAGAGAGAGAAGAGAAGAGAGAGAGAGAGAGAGAGAGAGAGAGAGAGAGAGAGAGAGAGAGAGAGAGAGAGAGAGAGAGGAGAGAGAGAGAGAGAGAGTGAGTGAGTGAGTGAGTGAGTGAGTGAGTGAGTGAGTGTGAGTGATGAGTGAGTGTGTGTGTGTGTGTGTGTGTGTGTGTGTGTGGTGTGTGTGTGTGTGTGTGTGTGTGTGTGGTGTTGTGTGTATGTGTGTGTGTGTGTGTGTGTGTGTGTGTGTGTGTGTGTGTGTGTGTGTGTGTGTGTGTGTGTGTGTGTGTGTGTGTGTGTGTGTGTGTGTGTGTGTGTGTGTGTGGTGTGTGTGTGTGTGTGTGTGTGTGAGTGTGTGTGTGTGTGTGTGTGTGAAAGTGTGAGTGTAGTAGTTGAGTGTGAGTGTGAGTGTGAGTATAAAAATGTATATATATAAATATATAGATAGATAGATAGATAGATAGATAGATACATACATATATACATACATACTAGCATGCTGAACAGCAACATGAGGAATGATGTTTTACTGAAATTTTACCACTTGTCTGATAAACAGGTAGAGGTTTATCCACACTGTGAAATCTTCTCTTTGTAATATATATATATATATTTTTTATTTCCATTTTATAACCATCTAAAAATTACATTCAATATAGAGCTACGACTCGTATTTCAGAAAAATGTTCTACATTGCTTCCAAAGTACCATTTCAAGTAACATGAAACATGGAAAAGAAAGTTTTAGAGACAACACTTTCCCACTGCATATCTGATCACCATTTACTACAAGATCTATTACATACTTTGTCATGGATATTCTCATTTGATATTTATGATTATCCTATGCTCTTCTGCCTTACCAGGTGACATGGCTCCTCTTTGAATTCCTGCTGCTTGCTTTAACAAAAATGTTGCTGGAGGATTGTGTATGGTTAATTCATAGGATCTGTCGGAGCGCACTTGAATTCTACATGGGAGAGGAACACCATTCTTGTAGTTTGCAGTGCGAGCATTGAAGTCTTTACAGAAGGCTGCAATGTTTAGTCCTCGCTGTTGGTGGGAAGAGTATTTAGATATATATATATTTTTTTTATGAATTACAAATCAAAAATAAATTTTTAGCATGGTATGTAGATGTTATGTAGACCTCTTAATTCTGTCACAAATCAAATTTTTTTTTATTAATTTGAAGATAAACAAAGATTACAATTCAATGAACCAACATGAGAAAGCCTAACCAATCAAAAATTCAGCCAAAGAGCCATAACAAATAATCTATTTCAAGACAAAGATATATCACAAAAAACTCCAAACCCAATAAAAAACTCCCCATGGGTTTTACTGACATGACAAACAACAAACCTGTCCCAGCATGGGTCCGAGGGGAGGCCCAGCAACAGCCATTCCTGCAGGGATGTTTGTGCGGATGAGATTACTGTGGTTCACCTTCTCCACCGCCTTCTTTAAAGCCTTCATCTTACCACCTGCCTTTGACATCTTCAAGTATCTGTAATGATAAACATCCATTAAAACAGTTTCATATACAATATATAAATGCTTCAACGGGAAAACTAATAATACTAATTCCTTCCATCACTTCCATATGAGCTTTGATACTGGTTATATATCAGTTCCAATGGATTGATATATCATTCCAGATACTAAATATTAGACATCTATCTAAATTACTTATAAAATCTATTGCTAATACCTAAGAGGTACATTATCCTATGGTAGTTTTGAAAAAAAAAGTCATTATTTACAACATGTCTGCATCCCTCAGAGAATAAATCCTCAACTCAAATCAACAATCTTGAGGGATTGGATCTTTTAGGTGGGTGGAGGGGGGAGGGGTATAGACCGATTTGGCATGACTTCACGAGGCAGGGTTACCATGACGATGAAATCCACTGGTGAAAACAAACCCCTCTCTCACAGTAATGAAAAGTTACATTATTATTGATATGTTAAAAAACAGAGAAAAAGCATTATGAAGTGAAACTAGAAGCTCTGCAGCTAAAAGGGTGTCCATATCGTCTACCTGCTGAAATTTGGATGGATGTCCTTTGAGGTGGCCTAAAAGGCCTGTCACACTAACATCTTTTCTGTCAATTTTTGCATTTCTGTCTGAATTTGAGGCTTTCCTCATGTATCATTTGCAAACGGAACACCTCCCATATGATGACAGTAACGACTGTTTCTGTCTGATTAATTTCCGTCTTGTTCTAGTGCTATGAAGGATCTATACAGTTAGAATGTTTTTTATTGATTAATTAGATTGTTCGAGTAAATGTGTTCCCCACACAGACCAAACTCTAGAGTCTGGGGTATTACCCATTTTGTTAACCTTAATTTGTTAGCTCCACTCTCGATACTAAAACATACCCATATTACGGAAACAATTATGGGATTATGAAAATTTGTACACAAAAATTGGAGTTTCGGCAAATGGCTATTTTCTTTAAAAAATTAATGTATTGAAATGCACTTAAGTATTAGTATATTTCCGTGCAATTCACAGTACCTATTATCAATTAACAACGCCGTAAACTGCAATTATGGCGCTATGAAACTACCATAATATGAAGTATTGTTTCATTAATAGTAACAATAATATCAAATACTTTCACGGGTAAGAAATTATTGCTTAAAATATTACCTTCGCTCGCCGGGACGAGGAGCATGTAAACAAACATTCACTGTTAGAATAATGTCTTCTGCTCATATTAAAATGTATTTTGTCTAATTTCTATATGATAAACTTTATGGAATATTTTAGTTTTATTTTATATCATTTGCATCCAGCTATTTTTTGAATTTTCGATTATTCGTTCTGAAGAAAATTGAAATTAACCCTTGTAGAATATTTCTTCTCATCACTAATATAATATCAAAACATATCTTTAGACTAGATAAACAACTTTGAAAATATGATGATACCAAATGATTTTGGTAATTTGTGGACTGATGAATAGAAACAAAAAAACATGTTATGTGACTACCACCTAAAATCTATTTCACCCACATGAATTTATAAACAAATATTAAACATAAATACAATGAATGAAACATTTAACTGTATAGACATATACTTAGTCAAAAGATTTCACATGTCTCTTATGTAATTTAAATGATAATTACTTAATCAAGTAATTTTTCAAACCACCTCGGTTAAGAAGTTCAGCCGGAGGAGCTCATGTGGAGGATCGTCTGCTCGCTGATGTAACAACTCTGTCCGTTTTCCTTCTTTAGACGCACTGAAACCTCATCAAAACTCCATAGCCTCACGAGAACAACCTCCTTCAAAGACAAGAAATGGCACAGCAACTCGCGAATTTGTTTACGAGAGTGGGGCAAATAGGTTTTGGAGTGGCTGTGGTCGGCGGCGTTGTGAACTCGGCGTTGTATAATGGTAAATAGTAATTGTGTTGATGGTGTGGCTATTTTATCATATTATATTTTGTTATTTAATGATTTTATCACTTCCTACGGATTGAGAGGGTATGCATGTTGATAAGTTATTTTTACAGATGCTTATTTGTGGTTTAAATTTTTGTAAGTGTAATTAATGTGCCTGTCATGTGAAAATAATGTTTTACCATATATTTTAAGAAGTAATTTACATTCCTATTCAACTCATCTAATTATAAGGAGCTGGAGATTATTTAGTAATACCTTTCAGGTTTATTAAAGTTTAGAATGGAAACATTTGCTAAGAAGGTTCTGGAAAATGTGATGTTGCTTCTGCAGGAAAATCCAACAAACGGTCAATATTGTTACAGGGTAGTGGCTCACTTTCGAAACAATCATGATATTTATCTGCAGGAAAAAAGACTGATTTCAATGATTCTTGGCGTTGTTTTTTATGCAAATTAATTGTTGAGATCCGAGTATCATTTCTATTGACAATCTTGATTTGTTAGTCCAGATAGTAGGGGAGGGCATGAAGTATATCAGGGAAATTATGGGGTAAAACCCCAAAAAAGTCCTGCAAATTACCCATTATACACAACACCAAAAACTAAATAATGCCCGAGAATCTTCTTGCCAAATCTAGTGTATGGGCAGAAGGTTCTTTGGACAGAGTCGCATACAAGACTGTATTAATAATTCTTGAAACACGTAAATGACGTATAACAACATTAATAAAGGCTGTTGAAAGCATAGATTTAGAACAGCAGACACTTGATTAGCAAAATATCTCTTTGATAAGTGATACATGAATTACTTAGCATATCGCAGTAATGAGTTTTGCCATCAGTGCAGTATTTACTCTCGACATGTAAGCAAGATGATCAACTTGGCTAAAATTGGACTTTCACCTCTGTTCTTTTATGTATAGCACCTTTAGGAAGCATTTGCTCAAATATTGCCATAGAAGAAAATTGTCTTGTTTCGTATCATTCTATCATTTCATATAGGTTTTATTACCCAACTCTACCACTACCTCATACTGAATATTATCTCAACAAACACCATCACATACTTTGTCGGAAAGCAAACCTAAGCAGACTTTCTTCACTGTATTATCAAATGATTTACCAATCAAACTCCTTTATCTAGCGAGAGTACGTGTGGTAGAAGTCTGTTGGCCTTTACTTAATTGAATATAAGCTGTTGTGCCATTACCAAGTTAGTTAATATCATAGACAATTGATCACAGAACACAGCAAGTGTGACATGGAGTTGGACAGAGCCCTGCCATTGAATTTGTAAATCAAATGGTAAAAGTTTACAATAGGACTACGTTTTTTACAGACTAAGCCTCCAACTTGAATGGACAAAGGAACTATCCCCATCCTAAAAGTATAAACTACTGTAATTTTACACAATAGTTCTGCATAATGGATTGCGATAATTTTGGTATGATGAATTCCTCTTATTTTCTAGTATCCAAATATATATATCAGTTATTGCACAGAAACGCCCACATTATCGAGAATCTTAGCACTGATAGCAGGGAAGGGCATGAAAGATACCAGGGAAAGTGCAATGTAAAATATAGATAATATACACAGAATCAGTCATGACATTGTCTAATGCAGGGGGTTCTGCCCCCTGCAGTCCCTGCATTGGGGCACAATCTCCAACTCCCACCCAGGAAAACAAAGAATCTTTCAAGTTTTCACTTCAGGAGAGAGCATATGACCAACATGCAGGAGCACCTGGGTACTGAGTATGTCTGATTCTCTCTCCTGCCATGAATACATTGAGGACTTTGTATTGCTAGGTGGGGGTTGTGGGGTTCGCAGGGGGCTGTTGCATTAAACAATATAGTGACTGAGTCTATGTAAATTATTCATATTCTGCCCAACAATTTCCCTGTTATCCATCATGCTCTTCCCTACTATCAGGTCCAAGAATATGGGGATATAGGGGGGGTTCTGTGCAATAATTTGTTTGTTTGAATACTAGAGGTAAAGAGAAATCTATCAATACCAAAATCATTGCAATCCTTGATATGGAACTATTGTGTATAATTACCCAAACTATGACAAAGTTTATTATATGAATCAGAAACCTTCCTGATCTAGGGGCTTTATCTATGGACCCCAACTAATCACCATATTTCCCCAGTTCGGGCTCTACCCTTGGACTCCCTTCTGGTCACTGTGTATCCCAAGATGGTGTGGTCCTTCTTTTTCATACTTTAACCGAACAGTTTGTTTCTAGAAATAAAAGCAAGTGTTTCTTACATATTTAGCAGTCATCATTACAACGCAACCTTGTAAATATATTCATAATTTAAGAAGGTCTAATCTCCAGCCTCCTTATCAGTGGTTTTGTCATGGTAATATTAGGGCATGCATTTTTGTATTTACTTACATAACCATAAATTTTAAAATTGAATAAGTTATTTTTTTGTTTTAATGGTAAACTGCAGGAAACCGGTAAGATAAATGAACCTAATGATTTTTTAAACAAAGTAAAACTGAATTTTGTTTATTGAATATTAGTCATAGTTTTAGATAGTAATGACTAATCTCATATTCTTATTGAATTAATGAAAAAAAGTTTAAAGTAATATAGATATTACTTAGAGGACCTTTTTTTAGTATGCTTCAATATATCAGTTTAATTGACCATATATATTACTCTGGCATAGAGTACCCAAGAACCTGACAGCTATATATCCTCTTACCATCTTCATCTCACCTTTCTCTCCAGTCGATGCAGGGCACCGAGCGGTCATCTTCGACCGTTTCTCTGGTGTGAAGGAAAGTGTAATGGGTGAGGGAACGCACTTCTTCATCCCATGGGTCCAGCGCCCCATCATTTTTGATACACGTACGAGGCCAAGGAATGTGCCTGTGGTGACGGGTAGCAAAGGTATGGCTTCAAGTATTTTCTGTAAATTACTTGGTTTCAAATAAGCAAGAAACCTATTAATGGATCATGCTAGGAAAGGGAAGGCTTCAAGGTTATAGTTTATTTTTATTTTGGATGAATATAACCTTGTTTTGAGTATTTTATTTTAGTGAATATGTTGAAAGTAAGGAAAAGCATAGGAGTGTGTGTGTGCAAGTTGGAGATGTTAAAGTTTGCTGATAATAGGGAAAATGGCCTAGATAGTAGGAGCTGCTTCATAAACTTTGTGCTTTGTAAGAAAGAGTTTCAGTGCAAATGATATTTTGATCTGTCTTGGACAGTCTTTGCCCAGATCCTCCTAATGCATTTGCTGGCAGGGAATATCTTAAGACTACAACAGTCTTAAACATGTGTTAGATATTAATGTGTAGTTATGTCAACATTAAAAGCAGAAGTTAGCCAAGATTAAACCATCCCAGGAAGAGGAAATTTTAATATACCCAAAACAGCAGTCTTGGTGGCCAGAGATGGTTCAGGGACCAGGGATGAGCTTGAGTAGTGGAACTTGGGTGATACATTTCTATGCCATGTCTTTTTCATTGCCTGAATAATCATTTGAAGTATGATATAAGAGTCCTGGTTTTAAAGACATACAAAAAGATTAGTTTTATTATTATTTTTTAATGCAATAGTTGATTTTGTTAACCGCTTCTTCATCTAAGTACCATTTCATTTTAACTGAACATGTTATCAGCATTTTGTATCTGTATGTGTCATTCTGAATAATTAAGTGAGTTATGTAGCAATGATTATTTTTCATTCAAGAATGTCTCCATTTTATTTTTCCAAGTGGTTATGTAGAGTGATGATAATTCATAGTTTGAAATAGAATGACCCCAGTCAAATACCAATATTTAAAAACAAAAGTGCATATTTATTATAATACCTTTAGCATGTTGAATGACTGACATCTCTCTTCCATTTCAGATTTACAGACTGTGAACATCACCCTTCGTGTGCTGTTCCGACCACGCAGTTCTGAGCTTCCAAAGATCTTCACTACCCTTGGAATTGATTATGAAGACAGAGTGTTACCTTCCATCACCAATGAAGTCTTAAAGGCTGTTGTGGTTAGTAAAGAAATGCACTTGTATGTAGATACACTTCATAGAGCTATAAAATCTGGTATAGTTGTTTTATGACTGGAATATTGTAAATGAATTAACAGCATGAAAATTATTTAATGAAAGGTGTATTGAATAAGATGTTGAGGACTGATGATTCTTAGAGGTGAATTGTAATTGATTATAATGTCAAAAGTAGGTGATAATGATGGTTTGTTTTCTCTTAGGCTCGTTTTGATGCAGGAGAGCTGATCACACAGAGAGAAAAGGTTTCTCGCAATGTCAGTGAAGCTCTCACGG